CATCAAATTCTTGTAATAAATATCTCTAAAACTAGCTTATTTGAGATAGCATTTATCCAAGCAATAGCCAATTAGCTCTTAAATCAAGGTTGTACGCGTTTTTGCAATGAGATTGCGAGTGTTTTGAAACGCCGGTCATCGAAAGTGTTCTCAGACGACTCAAGAGTCTCTCGAGTCCTCAACTTGACAGGATAGGGTTATCGATTGAATCTGATGAATCCGATTATTATAATACAGACAGCTCGTGAGTACCATCATCTGTCTATAGAATATCTGGGGGCACGGCAGTGCCCCCACCAAGTCATCCTTTTCTCGAAGCAATTCAGGCCATTTTCGACCGCCTGTAACTTCGTTGTGGATAAAACTAGAAGGCTGAATTTTCATTAACTATGCAGGCATTGTTTAGACACGGTATATTTAAAATTTCATTCAATTTGAACCAGTAGTTTAAGAATTATAACGGGTCAAAGTTACTTAATTTTGTCACTCACTGACTCACTGACTCACTGACTGACTCACCGATCATCAAAATTCTAAGGCACTTCTATCAGACCTAGAAGCTTCAAATTTGGAATATAAGTAGTGTTTGGTGTATGAATCAAGGAAAAACTAAAATATTTGGGGGCACGGTAGTGCAACCGCCAAGTCGAGTAAAATTTTTCAATTTCGGTCCAGTTTTCTAGATACATAACTGCTGTCTACAAAATACAAAAAGAAATGAGATCCCATCAAAAACAATACTTGTCAAAAAAACCAAGTCTCGCAACTCAGTTGTTCTACGGTAAAAAGTTGTGAGATCCATGTAATACCAAGTCCAGGCCAGGAAATCTTTAACGTTTTACATAAATATATTGACTTGGCCATCGCATGAAAACACGAGTAAATTAAATTATTTAGTGCGATGGCCAAGTCAATAATTTATGTAAAACGTTAAAGATTTCCTGGCCTGGACTTGGTATTACATGGATCTCACAACTTTTTACCGTAGAACAACTGAGTTGCGAGACTTGGTTTTTTTGACAAGTATTGTTTTTGATGGGATAACATTGATACACAGAAATAAGAATGAAAAAAAGATTCTCAGGATTGTTGTACTTTACTATGAAACACTGAAGCACTTAATTTATTCTGTGACGGAAGTAAGTTGTGCCTTAATCCTACAAGATCCGCGAATCTAGACACAATAGATAATCAATTGTTATGACATTAATTAATGCCGTCTGGGACTCAAGCGCCTAAGGCCCTTTAGGCCCAAAGCCTCTTTTGTAACATGAGCCAGAGACTCAAAATTGATATTTTTTGATACAAGTAAACCTTTTTCTGCGTAGTGATGGGAATTGCGAACCCTATATCTCGCGGCCTTGAATGTAGAGATGCAGTCATAGACATTAGCTAACCTTTACGATTAATCTACTATAATAATGCAGACAGCGGTCAAAGGTGTGAAATTAACATTATAATATCCTGTTGCTAATGATCTTCCATTCTTTTCATGTTACTTCAAAACAATTTCAATTTCAAAGTCAATCAAATGATTGACCGATTGATTTCGCTATGTTGCGCACTTGATTAAAGAGCTATTAATTTAAGCCTGCAGTCTAGTAATTTTACCCATAATCGTGGTTTTTAATCATTCTTTCAACTTATCTCCATTCTTTACGTTCGCGTTACTATCAAGATGGTGCTAATTATTTTCCCTCTGCCGTGGGTAAGAATACTCAATCTTAAAGTCTAATTGAACATTAACTCCCATAAAATTACAATAATAATTCAAAGTCATGCGTCAATGAACTTCAGGCCTCCCACGTAATTCGATATGTTTTATTAATAATCGCTGGATTTGCGATAATGTGTCACCTCTATTGCTAAGGCATTATAGTTGTTTTTAAATCGATTATAAAAATCAAAGTTATTAGCATAATATGGAGGTGGGATAACGCCGGCGCATAGATCATAGATGAGTTTATTGATTGAGGTAATTTCGCAGAAGTCTGTAAAGGATTCAGTAATGGATTGGAATAAGAAAACTTCAAAACAAAATCGTGAAAGAAACAAATTATGCGCATAAATTAAGTAAATTAAAGATAGGCTTTATTTGTAGCTTCTATAAGTAGTACCTATAAAAAATTAGAGACAAGCATGACAGAAATTGCAAAGACGAATTTTAACGAAACCTAAGTTAAATATTAATTTTCCTTTTGATAAGGAATGTTTAGATCAAAACTGGAAGTTATGTGGCATTGAACTTTGGCGGCAAGGTGATTTTCGCTACAAAATCAAAAACAAAACAATACCTAAACGTAGTTGAATTCAACTGGGTAAATTGCGATTATTTCATTAGCTTGGGTTATTTTGCCTACCTACCATACTAAATTTATTGAATTTATCCATTGCACAGATATATCCAGCTAAATCCATAGAGTTCCATCTGATCACAGCTCTATGAGCGCCGGCGTCACGTGTAGGCGCCATCTTGCAATGGCGGCCAGGGTCGCCTGATCGCCTGTCGTTCGTAATTGCAGCATGGTGCACATCCGATGGGTTGCACAATCAATATGTAATTATTGCTTACACCATTATTTACTGTACTTATTAGCACATAAGTTGCACTACTTCTGTACAAACACAATGCTAAATCAATTGACTGTTTTGTTATGGCTTTCCTTCACGTTGATGTTCCTTATTCTGATGACGCTTGACTTACGTTAGGGTCTTTACTCAATCCCCCGGGCCAGTGGGTAAGCAATTTCATGCATTTCCTGACGAAAAAAAAAGGGTCTTTACTCAAACCCCGGTAATCAGACAGAATGCACGTTTAATAATATTTCTATCTAAATCAATGCAACGAGTGTTCTATTACAGATAACTGAACTATTAAACATTTGTATGATAGGCACATGCAAGATCCAACTAATTCATATTGGCGATTTCATTCTACAACGTAACAAAACACCGCCAGTCGACAGACCGGCTGCGGCCCTTCCAAACAAAAATAAAACACAACCTGCCGCGAACCAGCACCCCACACTCGTGCGCACCGGCCCGTGACGTCAGACAAAGCGCAGGAAGTCAGGTGCACGGGCGCTTGTTTAACGGCCCAATGGCGCAGGATGCTTTGATAACAAATATTATATGCATCGCGTTGGGGAACAAAAGCTTTCTGTCTAAAAGCTAAAGCGAATATTTAGTTTATGCAGTCCAGTCGCCCCGCGGCTTTCTTCCTGTTACTAAAGATATTCATGAAATGGTTAATTCCGCGACTGGGCAAAGCTGTAATGTAATGCCAGTTAGGTACAGTGATGACTGAACTGATGGAAGAAGCTAAATGCAAGGAATGTAACAAGCCGAAGACAGGGTAAAATGGGGCGATTTATGATCCAGCTATGGAGGGTTATAGATACGATGGATGATGTTCTAATGTAAGTCATCTGTCTGTACGTAGCTAAAGAAATAATGAGTTACATTTACAAGACGGTTAGTTTTACATCAAAGAATATTGATAAGTTCTCGCGACGGCACGCCAGGTCATGTGAATATTTATGGGAAATTCAATGGTACAGTAATCATTCATTAAAGACTATCGCGCCTTCCTCAGGCAGTTCATGCACTACATTTAATTCCCGGGAAAAAGACCAATTAATACACCCTGAAGCATTCTTAAAACTTTAAGATAAATAATTATGAATGTTCCATTGATAGTGTGCGACGTGCGTATTCTGAGAATACACTCATAATTTCAATGGTAACGTAACGAACCAATTTTGCAATAAAACCTTTTTGGGAATTTTAAGTGAAGTTTACGGTAACCTCAGTCATTTCATTAAATGGTTATGTTCAGTAGCACCAATTGTAAGTCCCTTAGCGGCTGTCAAATGAAGTGAGCGGTTGTAACAGCAGCAGAACATTGTAATGAGCTCCAGTGACAGCGCGTGAGGTGAATATTCTAAGATAGGAATCTGAGGCGAGCGTGCCCTTTGTGTTGGTTCTCATTCATATGCTTACTTTGTACACTCGGTCGCAAATAAACTAAAAAATCTTAGATATAAATAAAATCTTTACACTACCAATTTACTAAGTTCATTATCATTGTATTTACACGTCTCCCTTTTTCAAAATGCCTGAGAAAAACTCATTTACCGCGAGCTATCTTTCAAATTGTGTTAAGCATTTGACATGGTTCGTGAAAAAGACCGATGTGAAGCACAAGGTATTTATCATCCGTCAGCTTGTTCAAAGCTCTTAAAATCAAACTGGAAATACACAAGAACTTTTCCACCGTTTTTTTCATCTAAGGCTTTTTCTTAGCTTGCATATTTTCCACCTTGACTGTACATAAGTCGTGCATGCGAAACGAATTGTAGCAAGAGCTCTAAGACCGCGAGAACAATCCGACCATTCCCAGCAGAAGGTTTGTGACTTTTTACTAGCACTCATTACAGTGTTATTTAACCGGCTAATCGTTGACAATCACGATCCCAAGTTTTAGAACAAGGTCTCGTGATAGAGACGTTGGGTTAATGAGATGATAACGACCGAAACATTCAGAATGAGCAATAAACTTGTGTAATTGAGCACATTCACATTCTCATATTTATATACACATTATATCACTTTTGAAGGTGTGAAAGCTCTATGCCGAAATCTGATATTATGTATTAATTAAGCAATGCAGAAACATCCATCGATTTTGGAACTTTATACGAGTACCAGGCACAGAAATATAAGACAAACTTACACAGTAGAAATGTATTCCAAAAAGAGCAAAAAGAGTACATAAACGTGTGTGGGTAAACTCTTTAGACACTTTGAATATGGAGACAAAATACACCATCAACTGAATCAATATGGTGATCCCTACGGTACTTTTTTATCCACGAGCAAACTTGACTACTTGTGTTTTTATTGGCGGTCAAGCTGCAGATCCTGGCTACACAGGAGTTGCAGCGGTGGGAACGCTAGATGGGGATAGTTCCGAAGCATAGCAAGTAATGGATACTCACTGGCATGGTCGTCGTGCAGCAGATTGTGGTAGCGGTGCTGCTTCTCGTTCGCGTCGAGCCTCATCATCACGCCGGGTCACAACACCATCGCGAACTGCCTGCAACAAAGGAACAAGCTTATCAACATCAGTTCATCGCAAAAGGTATCATCCACGCTTATTCTTTGGCTTAGTCCTAGAGGTACTGTTGACAGGTCCAATAAAAAACTCATAAAAGTCATTTATTTTGCAAATAGGCTTTTAAAAAGCACTTTTACACGTCCCAATGCGTCTTTCCATTCTATACAAAGCCAGAACGCAAGGGTGTGAAACTAATCGAGTATAGTTTGGATGTGACTTTTTTTACTAAGCTCCTCCAAACTATACACGACCAGTACGCATACGCTACTAGGGCATGCAATTCGGATATCCGGATATCCATATTATTCGGATATTCGCCAAATTTATTATTCGAATAGCATCTATATGATTATTCGGTTTTTTCGAACAATACGAATACACCTTTCCTATTAAAAACTTGTAAAAATATCTGACCTCAAACTACTTAAGCAAAGTTAATTATGTAAAATAAAAGAAGAAAACGTGTTTATGTGTGCGTTTACCTGGCCTGCACAACCCCTGACATAAATCCTATTGAGCATGCCAAGCATATGCTTCAGAGAAGAGCTCTTAGGAATTTCCCTGAAGATATGGTGCATGAAAACCAGCTTTTCTTGCATCTTAGCAGGACTTGGGACAGTATCCCACAACAGGATATTGACACCCTTGTTTTGAGTATGCAGAACCGCTGCAGATGTGTCAGGAGAGTTTTTTTTTTAATTTTACTTTGGGAGAAATACAAAGAGCGCTTTGAAGATGAAAGAGCACAGAAGACGTTTAAGGAACAGTTAATAACAAAAATTAATAAATCTTTGCAAGGTGCTGCTGAGGTATCAAGTCAACCAAAGGGCGATAACGATGACTTGGAAACGTCTGTTAGGGTGGAGATCAAGGCGGTCCAAAAAGCATTCACCTACAGCGAGATTATGATTTTCTACTTATAATTCCTCCTACGAGTGTCACCATAAAAGAACCTATTAGCTGAAAAAACAGGTTCTTTTATGATGAACAGTTTCGGAGACATAACATCTCCCTGCCTAACGCCTCGCTGCAGTGGAATCGCCCCCGTGCTCTGGTCCTGTACCTACTCGGACCGACATGGTGACGTTTTTGTACAAGCACTTCAGCACCTCGATATACCGATAGTCAATACGTCACCGCTGGAGAAACTGTAGCACTGCCCAAGTCTCGATCGAATCGAAGGTCTTCTCATAGTCCACGAACGCCAAGCTTAGTGGCATGTTATACTCCTCAGTCTTCTGATTTATATTAACTGACTGATTAACCCGACGGATTAGCTTAGCAAGCTGAAGTGGCAATGGGCAGGGCACGTAGTACGCAGAACTGACGGCCGATGGGGCAGCAAGGTTCTGGAGTGGAGGCCGCGTGCCGGAAAACGCAGCGTGGGACGTCCACTACAAGGTGGACCGACGACATCATAAAGGTCAGGAAGGCGCTGGACGCAGACCGCTACCAACCGGGTAACATGGAAAGCATTGGGGGAGACCTATGTTCAGCAGTGAACGTCCTATGGCTAAGATGATAATGATGAGGTTCTTTAGTAATCATTTGAGGTGTTCAATGAATGATATGATACGTTAGGATGCTCTCAGTTTCTTACGTTCCTATTTTCTAGACACAAGAAAGTAATTTTTTTCATTTCATTTTTCAAGTATAATAACTACTTGAAAAATAAAATGAAAAAAATTAGATAGATGATTGTAATAAGCAAAAAATTATCCTTATTAAAATGATTATAAACAAAAAAGTGTTTATTTTAATTTACTTTATATTGAAAAAAGCAGTATTCGAAAAAATCGTTTTATCCGAAGTATTCGAATACCATAAATTTTAGTATTCGAAATATTCGGATACCAATATCGAACGAATAATGCATGCCCTATACGCTACGTACTGCTCGCGTATACTTTGTAGTGACTTAGGTCAATTATCTTACTCCAAAATATACATCGTCAGTACGCATACGGACTAATCATGTATGTATTGTAATAAGTTCGCGATTACAATGTATACGCGAGTACTTAGTTGCATGCTCGTCATTTTGACTTATTTACCTCTCTTTCTATTAGCTACATATTAATTCATAACTGCGTGTCTACTTTAAACATTGAATCAATTTCGACACGTGCCATTGTTTTGATAAAGAGCTTTTTGGTGTTTCATATTCTGCCATAGAAAAGATATTTGTTTTGGGGCTGAATAACTTTTAAATTAAGAATTATGTATGTCAAAATGATTTTTGTTCTTGAGATAAAATTACAATTAATAATATTACTTCAATGAATTAAATAAATAAAAATAAATATCCCTGGACATTTTACACTGCGCTTCTAGTCCCAAACTAAGCAAAGCTTGTACTATGGGTACTAGATAACGGATATAAACATACTTAAATACTTTTTTTGTGAATACATACTTTAGTCCAGTCAATGAATGCCTTAACGACGGTGTAGAGAGAAATCCGTGGAACACAATTTCTGACCTCGGGACTTTATTTAGCCAAGTTAGGTGGTGAACATAGCAAAAGTCCCCGCCCTTAGCCCTTGAGCCGGCGTGGAGAGGGGGGTTTAAAGGTACCACTTTTCGGTTTTTCGCTTAATCCTCGGAAACTATGCGTCCTAGTGACATGACTACTATGAACCAAAAAAAGCTTATTCAATTTGCTACAGGTGAGACCGTCAAGTTTTTCTATATCTTGTATAGTTTTTGCGGCACCTGCTCTAGAAGGTCTGTAAAATTGGAAATTTTATTGTTGTCTTACATGTCAAAAGTGGCTCAAAGTGATTCGTCTAAATATACGCACGGTGTAGTCCCCTCGCTGGAACTAGGCTTAATATGCTCCCGCATGTCTAGAATGATTGCTCAATATTGATTTAGTCGATTTTCTCCTGATGGGAACATGTAAGACAAAAATAAAATTTCCAATATTACAGACCTTCTAGAGCAGATGTCGAGAAAACTATACAATTTATAGAAAAACTTGACGGTCTCACCTGTAGCAAATTGAATATGCTTTTTTTGGATCAAAAAAGTCATGGCACTAGGACGCATAGTTTCCGAGGATTAAGCGAAAAACCGAAAAGTGGCACCTTTAAACACCCCTCTCCCCGCCGGCTCAAGGGCTAAGGGCGGGGACTTTTGCTATGGTCACCTCCTAACTAGTCTAAATAAAGTCCTGAAGTCAGAAATTGTGTTCTACAGTTTTCCATCTATAATGCTTTATTGACTGGACTACTTATTATACATAGAAGACACCCAGTCCAATACAAACAAATATCAAAATATGTTCATGCACACAAATTAATATTTGTACTGTGCGGGAATCGAACCCGCTACCTCCGGAACAGTTATCAGTTTCGAACCACTACACCGAACGGTCGACAATTTTAGTTAATAATGCACGTTTAACTTTCTTCATTCACTCTCACTAATAAATAATTGGTATTTAATTTGAAATATATCTAATCAATTTAATTTCAGAAACCACTTACATTAGTGTTATAAATCTAGATTTATTATAATATGTAGATTCAGTAAAATAATAATATTTTATGTAATAATTAATGAATTTAAAAATGGCATCACCGTACGTGATCAACATAGGTAAGTAGTTCTTATTTCTAATCTCGAGGACAAAGCACGAGCATAATATCTAATAAATGTAATAATTTTAAATATAATTCCATATTTTATTAAATCAAATAAACTAAACACACTCTAGTCAACTGTAAGTGGTGTAGTATAGTTTGGAGCGAAGACGGAATCCATACACGATACAAACTATACACGATCAGTACGCAAAATTCGTGTATAGTTTGTAGTGACCGACTTACAAAGAGACACTCCAAAATATACACGAGCAGTTTCCTATGGGTGCGTTCTGGCCATGTATAGAACGGAAAGACGCCGTCCCAATACTAACCTTACAACTGCCTACCAGTGATAAGATTTCGGGATGGTCGGCTCATCTCATACTGGGACAGAGTTTTGTTGCTACCTAGAGCCTAGAAATGATCGTTAATACATAGTAAACTAATGATAGAAAATTATATTACCTAACCTACTATAAGTGACTAAATCCCAGTTATTCCGGATACACATAATGTAGAGCTTCTTTTACTCTTTAAATATAAGAGAACGTCGTACGTACGTACGCAAGCAATACGCATTTTGTGCGAAAATTAATGATGCAACATTAACATTACCTTAGATTACGAATTACAAACATAATAAGCCTTATCCAGTCAAAATATTTTGTCACGTTATTTAAACCTGAATAAGATTCTAGATCGCAAAATGTTTAACGCCTTTTCTAATAATCATAAATCGCTTATTACAAGAAAATACATTCGAGACATGAAGTGAAGTTGCAAAAAACATTTCGTAATCGCATTTTGGGCTGTTGACCGGCGCCCGCGCATTGGGCAATTCAAAGACTGCGAGTGGAATTGAATGGATTAACAGAAACATGACAGATTCGAATTTAAACGGTGCTTAATTCGGACAATTTACCCAATTGCCGGAATGAGGAAGAGCCAATGATTTAGTGCTGAATTGCTTATTCATTGCTAATTGCCTGCATTGAAATGTAATTATTGGTTCATTTCACTCGTACGCCTTATTAGCCGACATCAAAAGGGGAATATACGCAATTAACCGAGAAATTTTAATTTTCGTCACAGTGCTTGCCATTGCAACACATCGATTTCATATTCACAGGTTATTAAATCATTCAATGCGTTGGGACTTGAAAAATGATTGAAACATTGCCTTTTAGTGCAATATTTTAATTTGCGGCTCGATCGATTAAGCCAATAATGGCTTTGGTCATTTGCAATGGTTTCATAATTTCTATAAACCCGGTGCGCAACGGTAGCCGGCCGTGGCTGGCCCAGTTCTTTAATGAAATTGGCAGAAACAATATCGTTCCGGTGGTTATCGGCCATTGTGGTGGGCTCTATGGGCCTTTTGATT